AGACGGCGCCACGACGCCGGGCGTCTTGTCTGCCGGGAAAAGTTGCGCGCCAATAAGCGACCGCGTCTGAATAAATCGAGCCTCACTCGAACTGGACCACCCTCTGACTTTTCCACGCTGCATCGGCAGAAATCATCGTGTCGATTTAGGATAGATTTCTCTCTCTCTCTCTCTCTTCTCTTTCAATTTTTCATTTCAATCTACCAGTTTCTAAATTCTTCGACTTTTTGACGTACGTAACGCAAAGTACGGTTAAAATTCTCTTCGGGACGTCTTCGCGGTTCTAGTAAATACGAATTAAGAGGGAACTTCGCGGCTCGACGAGACTTTGCAAGTCGAAAAAAAGTTCCGATGCAGAAAATCGTCTTTTATGGGGTTTTCATAGGCAGTCCGTTTTTATTACGACGCCCGCTCCGATCTCGGCTTTTGATTATCGCCGGTTGAAGAATAGGACGGTCGATTTTTCGCTTTCCTCGAGAAAACAACCGCGCGCTTGCGTTTTCGCGCAACTGTACGCAACTACACATACCAGAAATCTTTCCCGAAGATTAAAGCATTGTAGTTGGTCCAGACACGGTCCACGGGGAATGATCAAAGGTCTCCGACGTATTTCCTCTCGACGTTTCTTCCGGGTCCTGTTTGACGAGGGTCCCTTTTGCCCTAAATCACACATCCGTCTCAAACAAATGTTACTGTAATTCTGCTTTGCAACTTGCACTTCGCTCTTCAATTATTGTTCGTACGTCGTTTGTTCCTTGTAACAGGCGACATTTGCAATTTCAGACCGCTTGTTTCAGATGAAATTGTCGTGGAGAAATGTCGACGGCGCGGATTTTTCAAACTGAAACGTATATATATATATATATATATACTGAACGATTAAAATGTAAAACTTGAAAAATTAAGCTATAAAGAATAGGGGAAAAGTTCGTTCATTTACAGATTTTAAGCGCAAATGATAGCGCAACGTAAATAAAATCCTGTTACTTCGACGAAACGAAACGAAGCCTTGGAAATTTTTTTGGAAAGGAACAAAACGTCGAGTCGATTCGGCTGCAAGGCGCGGAATTGTCGCCGGGAACAGCGTATGCAGAATTTTCCAGAGTTGTTCTCATTTATTACGGTGGCTCAGATGCGTTCCGCCAACTATTCGCCGCAGAGCGAAGCTGATCCTTCGGAGGGACCATGACCACAGAACACACTCCGCGGTGTGTTGTAAACTTGAAACATATTTCTATCAGAGAACACGCTCGGAAGCTGGCGCTTAAACCCCGCCGCTTAAAACACAAATAAACTTCCCGTAGAATTTCCAAGCGCTCGGTGAATTCCCGGTGATTACTCTTTCCACCCGTTGCCATTTAACCAACGAAGAATCGCAACGCCGAGTCGCACGTGCTGCAACGTCTGATTAAGTATCCATGAACCGCAGACCGTGTACTAATACGTCACCGCTCGGCTCGGCACGAGTCGATCTCGCACGTATCTCCCGCCCTTGATAAAACCCTATCGACAAACCTGTGCTTTACACAATACCCTTTGGATACACGTTCTTTCCTTACTTTTCTTTCTTCCTCTCTCTCTCTCTTTCTCTCTCCTTTCCTAGCTGTTGCCGTCTTCTCCCACGGGCGACGAATTTCACCGTTTCGCCGAGGGGCCATAGCCCAGACGACGAAATTGGAAAGCCGCGTGGCTTTCCGGAATGAGATTCGGACGGTCCGAGATATCCCGCCGCGCCAGGGAGATCCCTTTGTGACTAATTTCCCGAGCGTTTCTGGGCCCCTATACCCCCAATCGAATCACCGTGAAAACGCGGCGAATGGGAAGGGAAATGGAGACAATTCGATCCTGCCCTTTTACAGTCCGCCGTCTTCGTTATCTTTTAATCATTCAATCTCACGGCCGTTTATTTTCATTCCGTCTAGCAAGAGTACCTGGTGTCGTTGTCACTATTGTCGCGAGACGAAGCATTCCTCAACACTCTCGCACAATCACCCTCGTGAGTGGGTTGTGTCGTCGAAAATCTAGCCCGAAACGCCGCGACAGTCTCGAGACGAGAATTGATTAAACCCGGTTTAACCCTTCGTTTGAGCCCTTCGGTGCCTCGTAATCGTAAATTGGGGTGGCTCGCCCATATCCGTGTAAACGTCACGACGAGACAGACAAGCGTCGTGTGTTCTCCTCTCGTTTCATTCTCATACACGTATCTGTATGTACACCACCTCCTTTCGCGCGGATGTTGTCGCGTCGCGATCCCTGGCGAGCGAGCGGTGGAAAAATTTATAATCCCGCTTTCTTTCCTTTCTCTCGCGTGACCAACCGATATTTCGCCTTTTGTTATCGAGTGATCTACTCGTTGCGTGAGTCTGTTTCTTTGTTCCTCCAGCGTGATCGATATATATTCGTCCGCAGTGCAGTCACGACGACCTCTTATGAATTCCATCTCGCGGATTGTAAAGCAGGTTTCACCCCTCGAGTTCCTGTCATCGAGGTCTGTTTCGTTTCGTTTCGTTTCGTTTCGTTTCGAGTAATTCTCCTCGTCGTCCGTCTCTTCCGCCGTTCTGCGCCCGCTGAAACGACTCCGGACGATTAGGGGTGGCTTGCCACGTCGCTAAATTTGCAAGGCTTTTCCGGTCGAACAATGTCCGGTGGAATTTCGGTCAGCTTCTATCGGACTATGCTAATCTCAGAACGTCCCCCCGCGACTTCTAGAATAATAATAAGCCGCGAATGAACTTGTTACTTTGGCGGTTGAGCAACCCTTCGTATGCAGCTCTGTTGGAAGTCGCGTTGGAAACTGGCGCCACTAGGAGAAGAAAATTTTATTCAATCATTCAACAATCGGAAATACATCTCTCGTATAATTTTTTTCACTGAACATCTGGAGATAATCGTTTGCTTGTTGAGTTTCGAGGACATCGCTTTTTAAAAGCAACACGTTCTATTCCCGAATTATGATGTTGAATCGTGCAGTTTCGTTTCAAGAATTACGACACTCTCGTGATTGCTTGGCATTTACCAGCTATTCACGTCAAAATTGAGACGAGTTCAGAGCGTCATAACCGGTTGTTCCACGTCCCGGATAAAGTGTCTTTTCCTTCCGAACGCCCGCCGTCTGTACATACATCTTCGAGCCGGGCTCGTTTTCTGGGAAACTGCCACATGTAAGCACCGTGGAATAATCCACCCCTGACTTTTTACCATCCTACCGCGTTCTACCCTCCAGTGGCTGGTTTCCTGCCTTCGAACCGGGACGCCGGAGGATACGTAAATCTCGAAGAAAACGCTCCTTGGAGGAGCCTAGGGGGGAGGGTACGGTTTCACAGTCGAGGGACGACGAGCGCGCACCAAGGGCTCATTTGACCAGACGTACGATAAAGCTCGTGTCTAACGGGCCGAACCTCCCACTCCGTTCCATCAGCCCCTTTACGAGCGAATTCTTTGTATAAGGGTTGCTCGTATGTCCTGCGACACCCTCGGCTCGCGATTCAACAGGCAGCAAATCGTGCTTGCGCTCGCTCGCTCGCTCGCTCGCTGGCGACGCGAAAACCGGTAACGAGTCTCGCAAACGGACGAACGAACGAACTTTTTTTCTCCGACTTCTTCCGTGACTGCACGACGTTGCCACGGTTGAACGTGGCCCAAGGAATTTCTGCTTCCACTAGCCGTGTTAAAGGCGTGTCCGCGTAGAGGAGCTCTCTTGCTTAAAGCATCGATTTTTATGTCAGAATTTCAGCTCTCCGAGCTCTGCGCGCACTCGGTGCGTTTCTACTCGGTTATCGGTGCGAGAGATAGGATGAAAAGCGATCGGCGTATCAGGTTCAGGTGTTCCGTCGGAGGGAGAACGAGAATTTCCCGAAGGGGGGTAATTCCTCGCCGGAGCAGTGTAATCTACTTTTTGACGGGGACACAGCTACTCGTCGCGCGCGTTTATTGGATCGCGACGGCTCGTAAAAGCTGTCGCGGCGCGATCCATCGATCGGCGGATTTTTTTCTGGCGTTCGAGCGTATATATACGGACAAGCCCCGGGCCTGTTAGACCGGTATATCCTACCTATTGAATAGAGCTCGAATGGCTGTCGCGCGAATCGTCCATCGACAGGGCCGATAGGACGACGACTGCAGTCGGACAACTGCCTCGACGCGCGCGCGACCCACACCATCGACCAGCGGCGCGTATTGTCGCGAATACGATTACGATGGGACACCGAGCGAAACGAGAAGAATTGATATCGCGATATCGCGGCGATACGTTACGACGTATTGCGAGGAACCCGTCATTGGATCGTGTCGTTATTGTGTCTCGACGGCGGCGCAATCGTTTTCCACGTTTCCGAGCTTCGATTAACAGATAAATCCTTTTGATAGTCGCTCGTTGCGCCGTCGTTCCGTTGTCGCTCTGTGATATTGCCAGGCGGAGATTGGTGGAATTAATTCGATCGTTAATGGCTCGAGTATTTCACCCTCTCCTCCCTCCCCTCTCCCCCCCGTGATAGAAGTTCGGATCGAAACAGCAGGGAAAACGAGTCATATTCGAGTTAATTTCGAGTAATACGTTTGGCCATCGATCGAACGGTTATCGCGCTCGGCTTCTATCGACGTGCTTTCAGCATCGTCGCGCATCGGACGCTCGACGATTACGCTTCGAAGTCGATAGCGGGATAGAATCCTATCGGAAGATAACAATATCATTCTTCCTGCTTTCCCTCGGTTTTCTCACGTTCGCTTTGGATTCTGCAGTCACCGGCTGCATTTCCTTCCTCGTCGGTGTCGTTCCTCCGAAGATTTGATTTCGAAACCCGTTTGCTCGCACCCGTGTACTCGATTTTCTACGACCGAAGTTTTTGTTATGTCACGCGAATTGTTTCTATCGCGACTTGGCGAGTTTCGCCAGATTAATAGCGGCGACAACACGAGGGAGGCAACATTTCGAGGAATATTTTATATTTCCCTCGGCTGGCTGAATTTCTCCCCAGTCGGTTTTTCTTTCTAAATAACGTCGTGCTCGATTCTTTCTCGTCGGTTGATTTTCCACGGTGTGCGGCAAATTTCCCCGTCGTGCAATCGGGCAAGTTGCACGACGAGGCGAGCCTCCTCGTGTCCGTGCCATTGTCTCGCGCTGTTCTCGCTTCGTGATCGATCGCGGTCGTTCCACTTTCCTCGAAACTTGCTCTTTGTTTCGCCTCTGCGCGAGAGAACGAAAAGTGAAATGGATCTTGATGTATATTGATGCACGGGCGCGCGCGCGTGTCTCAACAGACTGGTACTTGTTGAATTGTTAAACCGTAGTGGTTCCTCTCGTAATTGAAACGATTACCACTTATATGGGAATAAGTACGTCGTTCGCGAATCGCTGTTCACACTCCGCCGTTTCGCGATCTGCGTCCTCGAGGATCCAATTTTTGGAAATTCGAACGAACGTGGACGAAGTATTGAAAGGAGGGCGGGATAATCTAGAGAGTTAATTCTGGAAAAGCTTCGGGCATCCGCGTTAACTCGATAAACGGATCAAGTGTTCTCGGCAGCAGGTTTCCTTGGGTAACAGGTGATTTTTCATTAGGCCGGCTGGGTCCTGGTGTTCTTCGTCTGAGGGGGCGGGTAAATGGAAAAAATGCGGGGGTAAACCGGTGAACTTTTCGTCGGGGATGTGGAAATAAAAAGATCGAGCTCGTGATTAAAAGCCCTCGGGCAACAATTGATTTTTCCCCCGTGTCCATTACACACGTACGCGCGCGCACACGGGCAGGTAGACGCGTAGACGCATGGTTGAGTTTATCCCGCGGGCTCGCACGGTTATCGACTGCTCCCTCGAACTCTCGAGGAGAGAGAGAGAGAGAGAAAGAGAGGAGAGAACGCTGGCTTGAATTTGTTGAACGGCGTCGCCGATTCATCGTGGAGAATGTCGCCGATCCACGTCCGCGAATTTAAACGATTTTACTCGATACCAGCGTTGCCAGGCCGAGCGGAGACGTGTGCGGAATAAAAACCGCCGCGTTTTTCCCAGGGTGGTTCTGCACTCGAGTCCCTCGGCTTCCCTTCAAAACGCGGGCTAACTTCCGCGCGCGGCGAATTTGTTTTCCCCGCTCTGGCCAGCGTCTCGATAAATTTCCACGTTCCCGGGGAAATTTGCGTGTCTGGCCCGGGTGTGTATATTCTTCTTAAGTGAAATCTGGCTCGTACGCGGCTGGTTACGAGCGAGCGAGCGAGAATCTTCGCGGAATCGCGGTTTCTCGACTTTCCCTCCGTGTGTTTACGCCGCAGCTCGCCTGTAAATTTCCCGCCCCGTGAATTTGCAAGTTCGGTAGTTCGATCTACGCGCTCTACGTGCTACATTCGATCCACTTGTCTCGGTTCTCTCGCACGAGCAAGAACCTTTGCGTTCGAAAGAAGCGTGTTTCAAAGGAAACGCATTATGGGGGTGCGGTGCTCGCCACGAGGAAAAACTGGGTTAGCATATTAGACAGAAACAACGGCTGCGAGGTTTGGCGCGAGGGTGTTTTTGCTGCCGTCAGGATGGAACAGTTCGATGCACGTGTCGCACAACTCGTTACGAGATAGTTGCTTCGCGAGCGGCGCAGCTGTGGCCTAAACCTGGCCGCGCAACTTCATTGGACGTCGCTGGACGCGTTTTTGACGCGAGTGACGTCGCACGATTGGCAACTCTCTTTCTCTCTCTCTTTCTCTCTCTCTCTCTCTCT